ATTGGCATCGATGTGGAATCCACGGAGACAGTAAATTACAATTCGGAATTGTAATTAAACAGTGTTTAATGAAGATGTAGTGGGTACGTGACGGGGAGAATTTCTTGTGACTTGGTGCATTTTGAGAGAACTGTGACATGTCTCGTGATAAATTGAGGGATTTCCATTAAGAATTTATAAAGTTCATCCTGAATAATTGAACCATTGCTGAAATAATTCATCGGAATGTTCATCATGCTACAAAATTATTTTAAAAATTCATTAGTTCTTCGCTAATTATGTTGGAAAATTCCGCAGCTTTTCTACAATTTTCCGAAAAGTACATGTTTAGTAGAAATGTTTTTTTCACTTACGCAAAAATACATTATCGAAAAGAAAATGGATTCTATTCAAAATTCTTTTTTTTTAATCGAATGTTCAATACAAGAACACAATTTTTCTAGGAATTTTCTGAAGTTTATTCATAATAACTGAACAATTGCTGGAATAATTGATTTGAATGTTCAATCATGTTCAAAAATAATTTTAAAAATTCATTATTTGGAACATTTAATTAGTCCTTCGCCAGTTTTATTGAAAAATAACACAGCTCTTCTCCAGTTTTCTTAAACATAAATGTTTAACAGGAAAAAGGTGTATAATGGAGGAGAAAACGACTACGTCACAAAAAAATTAATTCTGTTAAAAATTCTATTCTTTTCAATTCAAATATTTAATGAAAAAAATCTACAAAAACTCAATAGATTTCCAGATTTCATAAAACTTATTCTGTTGAAATTCTTCCACCGGAAATTCCGTGACTCCAATGTTCAAAGTTGTTCACCTTGAAATTTTTCAAGAGAGAAAAAAAAACGCAGTAGCAAAAGCTTTGAAATTCATGAAATCTCTGTGTTTCTTCTACAACGCTATAAAAACACTCTGAACGTAATCAAAAATTTAAACAGCCCGAATTTTAGCAACAACTCCATACAAATTTCGTCCGTCAAACAACAATTGTTCGTCAGCACTCTACAAGTGGATTTCCACGTGAATATTCAAATAACATTCGGCTATACCATACCCCCGTATACCAATAAATATGCATACAGTCCTCGCATTGAATTCCCCATTGAATTCTCAACCATATTTGTACAGCGAAAATATGTCGTTCTGAGTGTATCTCGGTTGCTGCGAATGAAACGTGAAAAACCGGGATGAATTCAGATCTGGGTTTTCACGTGAACACCCAGAGGAGTTCGTTCGGTTGGCCTCTGTACGAGAGATTTGCAAATAATCCTTGAGTGGATGAGAAAACCACCCCCAGCGCCTTCCCTCATTCAAAATCCCTCCGGTTCACCCGAGTTTCTCGGAAATCCAACTATGCTTAGACGCTTAGAGGCGCGCTCGCTCATTGGGGTACGAAAAATACGCGATCTGAATATCTCCGCGTTTAGTCGGCGAGACTGGATGTGAAATTTCCGAGGGGTTCTGTTTCGGGTGGCACAAAGGGTATTGTTGACGGGGAAATCAATGCAGCCATTGAAATATCGATTGATTATTCGTGACTGCACGGAGAAAATAGTTAGAGAAAAATTACCGAACAAGTCCAGTAATTGAGGTGCCAACTCGATTTTCAGTGCTTTTTCACCCTATATCACAATTATGATATCACAATTACATTATACTAAAGGGCTGCGGAACCCGTAGCCGTTTGGCGCTATTCAGAACTTTCAAAAGTATGTGGAAAAAGTGAAAACTGAAAAAGTTTTTTTTTTCAGATTTTCAAAGGGTCAGATTTTCCGTTTTTCCGGGGGGAAAGTCGACTTTCGCCAAAATCGATTTTTTTAACCGGGTGAACGTTGATTCCAACTATTTACGCGATGGGCTATTCAGAACTCTCAAAAGTATGTGGAAAAAGTGAAAACTGGAAAAAAAAAAATTTCACCCGGTGCCAAAGTGTCAGATCTTGGATTTTTTTCAGGGGGAAGTCGGTAAATGGGTCACAAGGGTCACGAGGGCCAAAGTGCCAGATCTTGGATTTTTCCGGGGGGAAAGTCGACTTTCGCCAAAATCGATTTTTTTAGCCGGGTGAACGTTGATTCCAACTATTTACGCGATGGGCTATTCAGAACTCTCAAAAGTATGTGGAAAAAGTGAAAACTGGAAAAAAAAAAATTTCACCCGGTGCCAAAGTGTCAGATCTTGGATTTTTTTCAGGAGGAAGTCGGTAAATGGGTCACAAGGGTCACGAGGGCCAAAGTGCCAGATCTTGGATTTTTCCGGGGGGAAAGTCGACTTTCGCCAAAATCGATTTTTTTAGCCGGGTGAACGTTCATTCCATCTCTTTAAGCGACGGGCTATTCAGAACTCTCAAAAGTATGTGGAAAAAGTGAAAACTGAAAAAGTTTTTTTTTCACCCGGAGCCAAAGGGTCAGATTTTCGGTTTTTCCAGGGGGAAAGTCGACTTTCGCCAAAATAGAGTTTTTAGTCGGGTGAACGTTGATTCACCCTTGTTCAAACCCTCTAGACCCTTATTTTGACCCTTGTGACCCTGGATCCTGGACCCTGTGACCTTGGAGTCATAATTTCGAGTACCAAATTTTTATCACCAGAAGACGATTTGGATTTTTATAATGTAGAGAGATAATTTTCATTCTAGTATCCCTGCGACGTCTATTATTCTGTAATTTTTATTACATTCTACCGCAAACCGTCATAAGAACGATATAATTATTATTGAAATATGGGTAATACCGATCAGATAATCACTATTTGCAGGACTTCCTCGACAATATTTCGTTTTGCTCCGGAAATTCCAAGTAATAATATAATGGGCCATTCAATACATATTGGATTTCAATTTGATTTCGGTCAGAACATTGAACCAAATAGAACTTTTCGAATAATCATATTAAGTTGCATCAATTAAATTCCAAATAAATGCGGAACATTCGCAAATAATCGTATTAATGTTCCAAATTGTGATCAGATCGGATTTCATTTCCCCTTCAGTCGATTCCCTCATCGAAATAAATGTAAAAAATCTATTTGTTTTATATAATTTATGTACCAAAAAATTTTACGTCATAAGAATTATGGATTATTCATCCATATAAAATATACATAGCAGAATATATGGGAAGTGAATAGAGAATATCAAAGGGTAATTCTCGAATATCCCAACGAAATTATTGATTATGTTCGGATGAGGGCTACTTCCAGAGGACTATGCAGATTCGCCTAACATGTGAAATTTATAAATTTGTATAAATTACTACTAAATAAGTGAATAATGATACCATGAATACTAAATTGAAGGATAAAGCCCCCTTGAATAGGCAAAATTTCTCTGTTGATTCTATACCCCGACGTCACTGAAGTGTGCCTCCCTGAAAAATGGATGAATTATTTATAGAATTCGTTTGTTCTGAGCAATTAATTATACCGCAATTAAATTCTTCAGTGAAATCAACTCTTTTGAGGCATTTTCGGTTCTCCGAGTGCATACTTTATATCCTGAAATGATTTTATTCCTCAATTAGGAAAACATTTTACAATTTTTTTAAATTGTCGGTATTTTATAGTTGAAGATATTTTTCATATTGATTTTCATATTTATTTCTTTCCAATTCACCTTTCATTTAATTTTAAGCAATGTTTACAGTGAAAACAAAATTATAAAATAAATTATAAAGTGGAAAATACAAATATGAATATATGTAGATCATACATAAAATAGTATGATACAAAATATGAAGGAAAAATGAGAATAAAAATGAGGTTTTACATAAAATATTGAAAATATGATGTTTCCACCTAGTTGTAAACATTCAATCTTCTACTAAAGTTGATAATATTCTAAAAAAAAATTATAGAACTCGGTTGTTCCGAGTAATTAATTATACCGCAATTAAATTCTTCAGTGAAATCAACTCTTTTGAGACATTTTCGGTTCTCCAAGTGGATAATTTATATCCTTAAATGATTTTATTCCTCAATTAGGAAAACATTTGACAATTTTTATAAATTGTCGGTATTTTATAGTTGAAGATATTTTTCATATTGATTTTCATATGTATTTCTTTCAAATTCACCTTTCATTTATTTTTAAGCAATATTTATAATGGGAGCAAAAATATAAAATAAATTATAAATGGAAAAATATAAATATGAATATAGATGACACACAAAATAATGTGATACAAAATATAAAGAAAAAATAAATGAGAATAAAAATGAGTTTTTACGTAAAATATTAAAAATATGCTGTTTCCACCTAATTATAAACATTCACTCTCCTTCTAAAATTGATAAAATTCTAAAAAAATGGTGATTTCACGACGGAGCAACAGGTACCCCTAATTGTCCGACATCATGCATAAAAATTACCCATTCCCATTAAATCATTTTAAATATCATTATATCAACGATAAATCCACAATTACGATGTAGTTTTGATAATTATTCACACAATGGATTTGTTCTGACCCACTTGTAAAATGCATTTCCATAAACGATTACATTTGCCACCGGTGAGTGGAGCTCTAGCACTCGTGCATGCGGTCAATGTTATAACATCGCATGTACCTCGTGCTGTGGCTGAGTCACCGGCCCTTTGCAACGTTAAATTAACGTCTGATGAGGATGAGGAGCGCGTGCGTGCATTTCTGGGGCAACGGCCACTTCCGGGTCATGCCAAGGTCACGTAATTAGTGGAGATTATGGGGGTTGTCAGGGATGAAAGCATTGGGGTGTTACTCCAGAGGAGCACAAGGCACGTCACGATAGAAATAGTGCCTTCATTATTATCTTTTCACTTGAGTGGAAATACTATTTCAAATAATGTTTTGATGCTCTGCCTCGTGCTCTGCGGAGAGGAGCGCCCATTCAAATGGGGAATATTTTTCTTTTAAATTCAAGACATTGTTTTTAATTCAAGTAAACTGAAAAAAATTGCAGCAGAACAACTTTTTCGAGTTTACTGAGCGGTAATATCGTGCTGAATATACGAATGCACTTACCTTATGATGAATATGCGATATGTTGTTGTTAATGCTGGTAGATACAGCTCAGTCTTCTGCGGGTACGCTGGGCAATGGTTGCACACAAATGTACTCGATAATTCTCCAGGATTTTTATCACCCGCAATTTCATTGCATGTAACACCATCGCAAAATTGACATTTGTTGATTAATTTTAAAATTTTAGTTTCATGTTGTTGGTAGACACTCCTCTGGCGATTGTGTTTCATAGGCAATTGGTCATATTCAGTCGATCGTTTAATACAACGACAACAACAAACAATATCATTAAAGTAACAATATTCTTTTTTCTTTCCTTTGTGATGTATTCGATTTCTAGTTAGTTCGAGGGTAAACGGTCCGGTGCACGACGCATGTCACTTTATAACGCACCCTCATTTGTATTTACACGAGTGTAATACAACTGTTGTATTTTGAGAGCGAGGGATACAAACACTCACGGATTGTGTACAGTTTGCCGGATGCAGTTGACGCTTTTTTGATTGGAAAATAAAATAGATGAGTTAGATCGATTAGTTTTGTAACATCTATCACACTCGGATTCACCTCCTCTCCTCATCTCGCTCATGTGTCCTTCTCTAGGACTCCCATGAGATCCTCCACGTGGGTACTCACTCAAAGAAATGTCAACAGACCCGTCCGATATCGCGGGAATTACAAAAGAAATGAAGATGGCAATACAAATCAGTAACAATTTTGACTATTGGCCAGTTTTCAATGAATATCTTGAAACCAAGGGGAGATAGCAAAATTTTTGTTATGACCTTTTCTCTAGCCCTCAATTCGCTCTACAAAAAAGGTCATTACGAAAAGTTCGCTATCTCCCGCAGATTCGGAGATATCCATCGAAAACTCGGTTAATCCCCGTATTTCCTAAATTAATCACGACGATATCTCTGTAAAAAGCACTTTCCGGACGATAAAAAAAGCCGAGAATCGAGGGGGAATCGTCTAGCCCGAGAATGCGAGGAATGCCATGAGGGGTCGCTGCGTGTGTGTGTGTGCCGTGGTTGCGTCAATAAAAATCGTTCTGAATTTGATTATGCGATTGAAATGGTACTCCCCATTCTCTTTTTATCAGAGCTCCCCCTTCCACTCGACTCTTACGGCTCTCCCTCGCAATTCTATAAATGGATTAACGCTGTCGTCATCCCCTCATTCTCCCCTTTCAGAACCCCTTAACCGCTCCAAAATGTCCCTCAGTACACATTGTTTTCAGTCGTAATATTACTTATTATGTTTGCTAAGTTTCTAGAAACGTCTGCGGCTGTTATCCTCACTCCTTTCAGCGCGATAAAAGTTTTAAGAATTCCGGGCTGTTCATAACTCAACGAATTATCATTCTTCCATTTTTTTCAATTAAATGCGCAAATTGAATTCTAAATTTCAGGGATTAAAGAGGGGATTGATTAATCTCATTAGTGACTAATTTGATGCTCAGGTCGACTGTTCGCGTTTTCTCATTTCCATAGTCCAATTTAACTACTGGAATACCGCGGAAGTGACTTGGGAATTTCCCAGTGGGACAGCTCCTGCGACAAAATTCTTTTTCAGAAGGGTATATTCGGATGAAAAGAATAATAAAAAAATTGAAATTGAGAATTGAAATTGAAGAGAGATGAAGAATTGAAATTTTGGATTGCACTTGTAATTCGGAAAAAATGGGAAGTTTGGAATTTTGAAATTCTTGGGTACGTGAGTATTCAATATCAAATCAGCCTGAATTTTTCTCATTTCTTCCCATTTTCGTGGAATAAGTGAACTAAAATTTGAAGTTTTCGTTTATTCTTTTGTAAAATTTTAAAATTCGATGGATCATTACCAGCAAGTGTACCAGAAATGTCAAAATTCCTTTTTGAAGAATAATATTTGAAATAAAAAAAAATTTTTTTTTTAAATTGAAATTTCAAATTTTACTTAAAAGTTTATAAAATTCTGAATGTTAGCAATTTTGAAAACCTGAATATTTAGTACCAAATCACCTTGAATTTCCCAAATTTGTTCCCATTTTCATGGAATAATTGAACTGCAATTTGAATTTCTTGTTTACTCTTCCGTAAAATTTTGAATTTCAATGGGGAAATTCCTCGAAATTTCAGTGAAAATATGTGACAAAAATTACCAAGAAGTGTCCTGGAAATATCAAAATTCGTGTTTAAAGAATTATATTTGGAATAAAAAAATGATAAAACAATTGAAAGTGAAAAAAAATGAACAATTGAAATTTCAGATTTTATTTAAAATTTTCTGAAATTCTGAATTTTAACAATTTCGCAAACATGAATATTTAGTACCAACTTACCGTGAATTTCTCTGATTTCTTTCCATTTTCATGGAATAATTGAACTGAAATTAAAAATTTCCATTTCTTCTTCCACAAAATTTTCAATTTCAATGGCGTAATTCGTTAAAATTTCAGTAGAATCCGAATATTATTAAAAATTTCCAAGAAGTCTCCCCGAAAAGGCAAAAATTTTTTTTAAGAATTACGTTAAAAATTCCAAAAACCAATAACAAATAAACAATGAATTAATCTTTCAGATTTTGCTCAAAATTCGATAAAACCCTGAATTCCTGAATTTCCGAAAACAAAAAAATTATACCACAAAACCCCCAAATTTTTCTGCTTTCCTCTACTCCCAAAAACCCAAATTGTCCGTATCAAACCATTCGTTCCCCATCAAAACCATGAATGACCTGAACCCTCACCCCCTTCCCCCCTACACCCACCGTTCAATTGTCCTGTTCCATCCATCAATGAAAAATAAATCGAATCCATCCGGCCCGGATCCCCCAATTCCCTCAAAATCTCCGCATGAGCCCCATTAATTTTCAATTGTTCCCATCCCCCCCCCCCCCAAATAACAATCATTAATTTCCCCCACCGCACCCCCTGAACTCCCGTCCCCAAGCCATCTCCAATATCGACAAAGCACGTATCCCCTTATCCTCACTCCCAAGCAAGTAGTAAACCCCCGTTACGATCGGACATCGTAACCCTTTCCCCTAAAATCCCCCCTCGCCCACTCCCCCATCCCCCCATAAAAAATTGAAACCCCCATAACCCCGCGGACCCCCGTGAACCCCCAGCTCCCCTCATTGACCACAACTATTCCCCAAAAACCCGAAAAAAAACTCCAGAGAGGAGATGAACTCAGTGCGACCCACGAGTCCTCCCACACCGATAGACTGATTCATTTATTCCAAACGGGATTCGTTAACTATGAACGAATGTTAGAGTTGAATATGACCAAATGAATATTCGTTAATACTTAACGAACGGTTCACTTGAAAACTGAAAATAGCGTCAAACAGGGCTCCTCAAATGTGCATTTGTCAACTATTAACGAATGAACATTCGGTGCGACCGAGTAGACCCTCCAACCACATCCATTCGTTAACAATAACTAATTCTTTCCATCAGTGCACGCTTTGTCCACTGTTTACCTCCCACCATGACGGTTAATGCTTCTGTATCTGCCACTGATAATGGTGGCGGTGCTGCTGTCGATGGACCGCCACCGGCGTCAATGCTGCATTCGAGTTTATCTCGGCATCGTCGCGAATTCACATGCGACGACGCCGACGTCATCGTGACGGTGCCAAACGGCACTCTGTCATGCCCCCCCCCGCCCCTACGCCCGGCAAAAAAAAAATTCACGATAATTCAGCACTTTTGTTCACGCTCATCCGGATGATTAATGCGAAAAACGTGAAATGACTGGTGCAAAAAAGAATGGAGGGGATGAGCTTGAGGGGCTGAAGGTTGGGTTGCGCTGGTATCGGGAGAATGCACGCTTGGCGCTGATGCACTCAGTCGCACATGCACTCACACACATGCATAACGCGGTGATTGTGGTGGTTGTGAGACGTCGAGGTGCGTCGCCTCAACCGTCGCGTACCGATGCTCAAGTCGGACTAAAAGAACGAAGGGATATCACGGAGGCAGCGCCACGCCCTCGCGGCGAGGTGGCAGCACAAGTCGCGTTGACTTGTTTTGGGTGTCTTCGGGGCTTTGTTGAGTCGAGGGGTGGTTGGGGTGGCGAGTGGGTGGGGTCAGATGTGCTTTGATGATCGAAGGATTTTGCAGAGCTTTGGGTTCATGATTTGGTGAGATTCCGGGTTTTATGGTGACTCTGGGGGGAGGGGGGTGGCAGACGGCGACGGGGGGTTACGGAATTTTATCGATTGTTGGGGTTACAGGCATGATTACACTCATTAGAAATTTGTTACACGTGAGAGTATTTGAAAATTCACTAACCTGATGGAAGAAAATTTAATATTTTTATTTTATTTTGGGTGTCTTCGGGGCTTTGTTGAGTCGAGGGGTGGTTGGGGTGGCGAGTGGGTGGGGTCAGATGTGCTTTGATGATCGAAGGATTTTGCAGAGCTTTGGGTTCATGATTTGGTGAGATTCCGGGTTTTATGGCGACTCTGGGGGGAGGGGGGTGGCAGACGGCGACGGGGGGTTACGGAATTTTATCGATTGTTGGGGTTACAGGCATGATTACACTCATTAGAAATTTGTTACACGTGAGAGTATTTGAAAATTCACTAACCTGATGGAGNGGGGGGGGGGGGGGGGGGGGGGGGGGGGGGGGGGGGGGGGGGGGGGGGGGGGGGGGGGGGGGGGGGGGGGGGGGGGGGGGGGGGGGGGGGGGGGGGGGGGGGGGGGGGGGGGGGGGGGGGGGGGGGGGGGGGGGGGGGGGGGGGGGGGGGGGGGGGGGGGGGGGGGGGGGGGGGGGGGGGGGGGGGGGGGGGGGGGGGGGGGGGGGGGGGGGGGGGGGGGGGGGGGGGGGGGGGGGGGGGGGGGGGGGGGGGGGGGGGGGGGGGGGGGGGGGGGGGGGGGGGGGGGGGGGGGGGGGGGGGGGGGGGGGGGGGGGGGGGGGGGGGGGGGGGGGGGGGGGGGGGGGGGGGGGGGGGGGGGGGGGGGGGTTCAGACGTGCTTTGATGATCGAAGGATTTTGCAGAGTTTTGGGTTCATGATTTGGTGAGATTCCGGGTTTTATGGTGACTCTGGGGGGAGGGGGGTGGCAGACGGCGACGGGGGGTTATGGAATTTTATCGATTGTTGGGGTTAGAGGCATGATTACACTCATTAGAAATTTGTTACACGTGATAGTATTTGAAAATTCACTAACCTGATGGAAGAAAATTTAATATTTTTATTTTATTTTGGGTGTCTTCGGGGCTTTGTTGAGTCGAGGGGTGGTTGGGGTGGCGAGTGGGCGGGTGGAGACGTGCTTTGATGATCGAAGGATTTTGCAGAGTTTTGGGTTCATGATTTGG